AATAACCAACTTATTCTATTTGTTCCTAAATAGTATTTACCTCAGAGAAGCCAGAGATTTATAAATGACCGCTTATAAAAATAAGACACCCAAAAAGAAAAGGTTTTGTGATGCAAAGGATATTTACATTTGAGCCTACATATATTTTATTTCCTCTCTTCACAAGATTGAAATGAGTTTCATAAGAATACATTTAGCTTACACATTTAAATGTGCCATTTACGGTGGCATTACAGGGTTCATAATAGACTTAGTAAGCATTATCATGACTTTTTTTTCTTTCTTATATCATAGCACATTTGCATAGTAGTCCATATGTTGGGGAGCTTGCTTAGAGACTGCTAGTCCCCTCTCAGTCTGCAGAGATGAGACAAACAGCTCCTACTGTAAAATACTCTCAGGAGTATTCCCTAATCACTGTGATGAATTTGTGTTTCCTTTTCTTGCACTCCTGACAGCCTTACAACTCTGGCTAACAGTTTTAACAGAAAGATTCAACTCTTTTTTCAGAGCATACCACAGTCAATTGTTGAGGATGCTCTGACTGTGTCCACTATTAAAAAGACACTTGTGGTTGCATCACCAACAACATAACTGCTCTTTTATGTCTTAATGCTCTGCAGCAGAGCACTTGGGAACCCAAGTGGAAAGACATGTCTACTGCAAGTCAGGCTTTTAAGCTCCAGCAAGGGCATGAATTCAGATACACCAAATATGCTTTGTGCACCAAAAAGCCCGTCGCTCACTACCAAGACTCTTCAGAAGCTCGTTGAGCTCTCTCCTTTGGCTTTCAGACAATCTTCAGAGGCTTGGATCTTTCCCCTTGCCTTTGTAACTTAGGTTGCATTGATTTATTTTTACCTTTATCTTACGATGCAGATGGGCGAGTGTATTTTAGATATTTTCAATAATTAAAACTTTTAATTTATTTTTCATCAATGTTCTTTTCCTTCCTTTTTTTAATTTTATAAAAATTACCTATAGTAATCTGTACATAAGAAATACGAATGGATAGAAAATGTCAGAATTTGCCCATATACAACCTCTTCATTTCTGTAATTCCAAAAATCCAAATTACAGAACATATGCCTGGCAATCACTTACATGAATAATGCCTATTTTGTAGCCCACAAACTCTAATAATAAAATATATTCGGCATACCTTACTTTGCCATTTAACAGCAATTCCATTTATACTGTGTGTTCTCACAGACTGCCACAAAATTACAGAGAATTTTGAAAAGAAAATCAAAATTATTTCTTTGATATATGAAACTATAAGAAAAATGTACTTCACTAAAAGGCATTATGCAGAAGTCAATAACAGTTTGTGAAGTATTAACCAAAAATCTTTTAATGAAGATTTATATTACCAATATGAAAATTTTAAAATTAAATACCTAGATTATCTTCTGTTCCAAAAGGCCAGTAGTCCTTTACCATTTTTTGCTGGTATTATACAGTTATCAAGACAACATAATCATTATGAAGATACTAATTTTTAGAGACAAGCATATTTGGGACACAACATAAGATAGAAAAAGACATAAGCATCAGAACCTGCTAATTTACAAAAAGGGCTATTTTTACAAAATAATGACAGGGTGATTTGGACATAACAGATAGAAGTAGAAGTAAGCCGAAATGTCAAAAGTAAAATGGAAAACCAAAGGAACAGATGAGAAAATGTGTTTATATGAATGATCAGTATTCTGTAGACAATTATAAAGAATGCATTAATAACTCTGCATAAAAGAACACCTGAGGCTGGTTGAGAAGCAGGTTGCCAGCAGGCTGAATAGGAGCAAGGAGATACCATCTTTAAGCACTGAAGACATCAGATCCCAGAAAAGAGGATTTTACATACTTTAGAACCTCTCTGGCTAATCCAGTTAAAACGTGAGAATTGCAGTCAGCTGCACTAAATGGCTGCCTACAGGGAGAGTCATCAAGGGTAGTTCCTTTTTATCACAGAATGCCCCTTGAAGGCAATGGCAACTACACAACACTGTTGCTGACTGTGAAACTGTAGCCTCGGTGCTGGGGAACAGATAGGAATTTGGAAAAAATTGCTTAGACTGAAGTGGGACAGAATTGAGAGCTTCTCAAACTATTGTTATACTTTGAGCTCACATAACCTCTGAACAATGATTTACCAACTTTGTTGGCTGGAGAACAACTTGAGATAAACACATGACAAGCTGAAGCAAAGACTACATTCTCTATTTGTTTTATTAAATACCTGCTTCTGATATCCTAACCTTAAGATCTTATCAATGCAGGTTTTTTTACCGTTTTATTTATAACCTTGTCTTGTGAGGTGACAATATTCTGATTGTTTCAGACAAATCAGAAGTTTGCAGAATTAATAAAATTTCTGAGGAACATTCCAGAACATTTTTAAACTCAATGGGAATTGAGTGTTTTCTGCAAGTCTGCTGGGGACCAGTGTAGGAAGAACATAAAGACAGATGTTTTAAATGATAGCAAATGCCTGTCTCATCCAAAAATGTGTCTCTCGAAAGGAGATGACTAGGCAATGTGAATATAGGACAAGAATTTAAGGTTTTTCTCAGCTTCCACCATGTTGTGGTTTATGAATGTCATAAGCCAGAGGTGATCATGTGTTTTACTAAACAAGAAATAGATTCTTTTTTATGACATTTTTGAGCCTCCACTGAACCCATGTAAACTTTTGGTATCCAAAGAATTTGTGACTATGCATTCCAGAGCTTCACATCACAGTGCATGAAGAATCACCTTGGCTTGTTCTGAACTGGTCACCAGGTAATTTAGTCTTAATGTCTTATTAATATTTCTTTTTCTTTTAAATGTTCTCTTGAGTATTCAAGCTTGTTTAGTGTGAAAGTAGTATTCACAGATGGGAATGTGGGATAGAGTTCCTTTCAGCAGATAGATACTACAGTTCCTCCTTTCTCAAGCTATACATAATAGAAGAAAGGAGTACACTCCTCTCACCCCATCTTTCACCTGTATAAACAAGCAGTGGAGAAAATAGTCTGGATGAGTTTCTACACCTTTCTTGTAACTGGGAGCAAAGAACTCTACCTCAGTTGCCTGTTAAGCATATGGGAGATTAAAAAGAGAGGGAAGAGAGCATACATTATTTTGTCAGCCACCACTCAAGAAGGAAATAAATACAAGCTTT